GATGACTCAACTAATGGACATTTATACAAATCAGTTGCTTTTCCTAGCTCAATCTCTACTGGAGTTTTAATAAAAACAAGCAATCCTTATGCACCAAAATTACAAGCGTATGTTCACACTCTTAATCCTACCACAGCATCTTCTAGTACTGGAAGCTCATCATTGTCTGCAAATGTTACAAATAGCATTTTCCCTTCTGCTTCCAGTGCAATGGCTGATATAACTACTAGCAGTAGTTCAATGACTCCAACACCAGTTAGTATGTTTGGTATACCACTACCTGATCTCTCCATCAATCAGTGTCTCTTTGGAGTAAATGAAGCATTTACTCATTCATTCCAAAAGACAGTGGCGGTTTACTTTAGTCTCAATTTCCCTTCTCCTTGCAATGGAGTGATAGAGAGATGGGAGTTCTGCTATAAGCATGTAGATGTATCTTCTAATATTAGCTTGGGGGTATGGAGACCATCAGATAGTAACTACACAATTGCAGAGTTTTCTTTCTTTGGATCTAATGAGGCCACAGTCCTTCCAAGAGGCTCTCATTACATTGATCCATTAGGTTGTTCTTCATTTGACGTTGATCCTTCAATGCAGATCCCAGTACAACAAGGAGACCTGATAGGGTTTAACAGCTCTGATATTCTAATAGCATTTTCTGACAGAAGCATAGGCCAATCTCTTAGCATCAGTATGCAAGATGACATTCCCTTATTAAGAGCAATAATAAGTATGTCATTTTGATGTAGTGATTGGTTTCATTTCATTTCTAATACAGGGAGAGAAGTCCATTCATCATATCCTGTTATTTCCAGTGTGCACAGTAGCACCAGTAATACTTTTGCTATGTCTTCTGTGTCCTCCTTCACACCTTCAGGTCCTTCACAAACAAGCAATGAGTCAATAGTAGTTGAAGCTGTTATGGGTAGTATTGTTAGTGTATTTGTATTCATTGGATTTATACTCTTCATATTTGGTATTGTGTATTGTGTGATCAAAAAGAATAGAAGTAGTGAGGAGCAGAGATCAATAAATGCCAGAGGTTAGCATATACCATGCACTAATGATTATTTTATAGTTATTGATTTTGTATAGACGAAACAATGGTTTATAATGTACACTACACACCTAGCAATGTCTCAGAAAGTTAGTCATTGCTGCTAATGCAGATTGTAAACCATTTATCATTTCACAGTTATAGTGAATAACAGGAGAAAGTCACTGGGTATAAAGAGCAATCCTTCATACAGCATCACTTCAATATCTGGTCTTGGTGAGCTTCCACCCTCACCTGTAGCCTCTCCAACCAACTCGACACATATATATGAGAGCATTTAAATGTTTATGTGAATTGTTATGATGTTAATTGTTAAATAGTTTCCTGTGATGTTTTTAGCTTATTAATGTATAATTTATGTTACTACAAGTGCATACTCAATAGAATACATTAGTATAACAGCATTTAACATGTGTTATCTGCTGTCCTTGGTATACTCTAAAAAGGTAATTCAGTGTACTATAGACTATATGAATGGGCACAATCAGTGTGTCATCATGTGATAACTATTACTTATAAAAACAAGTAGCTTACATAGGCTGCCCTAACTCCACATCAAGAAGGAAAATAAAGATGGCAACAACAGATATTGATATTGTATATCCATCTGGGACCACTCTACCTCAAGCAGTACCAACCAACAATCTCCAGTCTGGAGGAGGGAAAGGATGGTACAAAACAAACAATGGTCTCACTGCAATTCTGTGCCTTGTAATATTCTTCCTTCTGTTGATATTAAGTGTTATTTTCATTTGCTGGAGAAAGAAAAAAAAGCTGAAAAAATGTCTACAACATGCTTCAAAGATGACTAATGAAGGTATGTATAAATGCTGTCACCATTATTTTATAATTTTATTGCAGAGGAAATTGTATCTGAAGAGAGTCTACTGTATAATGGTGCCTATAGTGATATAGACACTAAGGATGATGTTGGTTTGTTAATAATTGGCATTGTTATAGGTAATTTGCAACATTTTTCCTACAGTTATTAGTAATGGAACTAAGTACAGGATCAAATTGGACAAAAATGAAGCATATGTTACATTACCAGAAGTCAAAACATCAAGAAGAAACATTGAATCCCATACTTATGAATTAATAGCATAAAACATCACTAATAATCATTATTCATTGGTTAATAACCATAATAGTATTCATTGCTCATAATTAAATTAGAGGTGGGGCTTAGTTGTTATGGAGTTTAGCAGCATCTTTAGCCTTTTTGTCCTTTTCTCTTTCATTCTAGCAAGAGATCTCTCACAAGCCAGCAGAGTAAGTCTCTAACAAGTTGTAAAGATTATAAGTTGTCGTCAGCAGGTCCAGCCCCGCCATGAGGAAGATCAAGGGACCATGGACACTTGTTATCCCTCCAACGTGGTCTACCCTCACCGTTGTCAGGGAAATGAGTGCACCATGAGCCTCTCGTGGAGGGATCACGAGGAATGGGTCGAGTTTAACCTTACAGCCAAGACCCAGGGGCACTCAGTATGGGTAGCACTGGGCTTCTCTGAGGATGGAGAAATGGTACTTTGATTCTATTAGTAACATTATTATTATTATTATTGTTATTATTATTTACTTGTTCTCTCTCTCTCTCTTAGGCTAACAGTGATGTGGTGACATGTTGGTATAACCACGGTTTTGAAATACACACTGCATGGACGTCATCCATTGGACACAGTCTCACATTAAGCAATGATAACAAAGTATAATTGATAGCAACCAAACATTGAACCATTACTATTGTTATTGTTCCTAAAAATGTTAGGATTCAGTTGCTCTCCTCTCGGCTAACTATAGCAATGGCGCCGTTTCCTGCCAGTAAGATTTGTTTCTTTTCTTCTTTCTCTCTTTATTTTTTTTACCTCTTACAGTTTGTGTTAATTGCTGTTAAAGTTCACACTATGATTTCATGAATATTCTTTTCTTCCAGTTTTAGTAAGAGAAAGGTCCCATTGAGCAATTCTTCTATTCACGTGAAATCCCTCTCACAAAAGAATTGGCACATTCTCCTCTCATGGGGACAGCTAGCAATATCTCGTAAGCAACAGCTTTGATGTCAATTAAAACTGATTGCATAACATAATAACATTTATTGCTTTATGTCTTCTTTCCTCTTTCACATCTCTCTCTCTCTCTCTCTCTCTCTCTCTCTCCTTTGTCAGGCAAGAATGATGTATCCATGAGTCAGCATGCAGTGAAGTTTAGCACCAGCTGTCCGTGTGATGTCTCTGATTGTTATCAGATGTGTCTTTGTGTCAATCAGTTGAGGTTTCTCCTTTTCAAATTGCACGGTATGAGAATGGATCTCTAGTGGTATGGGAACAGGTCTATTAGTATGGAATTATTAGAATGTAATAAGTATAATTGTTAGGACCATACAAGAATGAATTTTCAGTTCATCAATAAAGTTTTTTTTCAATTGCTTTTAGGTTCTATTATGATCATTGTGTTTGTATTTCTATTACCACTGGCTACAATAATAGCAAGATACTATAGAGATACTTTCCGTGAAAATTGGTTCAAGGTAGGAATAATGATTATATTATTTCTTGTGATTAATAAATCTTCATAGAGTCACATGACGCTGATGTTAAGTGGTGTTGTTGGCATGATACTAGGACTAGGCTTTATCCTTGGACACACAGGAGGGAAATTCTATGTGGTAAGATTAAGAAAGAGATGGGGGAGGGAGGGAGGGAGAGAGAGGGGGGAGGGAGGGAGAGAGAGAGAGAGGGGGGAGGGAGGGAGAGAGAGAGGGAGGGAGGGAGAGAGAGAGGGAGGAAGGGAGAGAGGGAGGGAGAGAGGGAGAGAGGGAGGGAGAGAGAGAGAGAGAGGGAGAGAGAGAGAGAGAGAGAGGGAGAGAGAGAGGGGGGGAGAGAGAGAGAGGGAGGAAGGGAGAGAGGGAGGGAGAGAGAGAGAGGGAGGGAGGGAGGGAGGGAGGGAGAGGGAGAGAGAGAGAGAGAGAGAGAGAGAGAGAGAGAGAGAGAGAGAGAGAGAGTTTGATATGCAAAACATTGTTGGTATGCAAACAGTACCTTGTATATTTAGGCTGATTGTATCCACACTGCTACACTGATGAATTTGTAGATGTTTATATGTTTTCCTTCCTCTACATTATGTAGTAGCTTCCACATTATAGGCTGATTATACGAATTGTTGTTTGTGTATTGGCAGTTGAATCTACTCATTGATTATTTATTATAATCGTGAAGTTGTTGCTATTGGTATCATTGTTGTTTTA